AGCCTGCAGCTGTTCTTTGCTGGCTCAGGAACATCTGCTTGACTGGTGAGCAGGAGCACCAGACTGCTGTGCTGTGCCAGCAATGCAGCATGGACCCTGGAGAAAGCCAAACCTGGTGCTTGGAGCTGGCAGTGCTGCCCTAGGAGGGCAAAGGAGCAATGGGGGAGAGCTGAGGATACTCCTGGGGAGTGGCACTGGCATACCTGGCAGGATCAGCTCCTTGGGAGCCAAGCTGCGCTGGTCCTGATGCCAGCAGGATTGCTCCCCTCCTTTGTTTTCAGTACCTGCTGCTGCATGCAGCGCTGGCTGCTGCCTGTGCACCCCTGGCAGCTCATTTTGTGTACAAATATAACCTTTCTTCAGATAGAGGTTAAAACTGTAAGTTAAATAAAAGTCTGGTGCACTTACTTGTTGGCCCTTAAGTGTGATTGATTTAAGTGTAGAGCTCCTCCTTAACTTGGGTTTGTAACTCTGACCTTCCCAATTAGCTCTAGTACATCTGCAAGTGGTTCATTTTCACTGGGCTATCTCTAATTGCACTGCAGTTATTCTGTTAATGGTTTTGTAACTGTCCAAATCCATCTGCTATGTCTCCCTTCAATTGTTTCCAGGGGCTAAGAGTATCAGGATGATCAAACCACTTGCTGGCAGGAAAGCTGTCTGTTCACAAGGACTGGAAATATGTCCTATTTCAGTAACTGACTGTGAGATCAAGCACAGGCTCAGCCTGAGCTCACCTGGCCCAGCAGCAGAGTGTATCAGAGCAGTGAGACAGAGCAAAAGTGCAGAGCAGTTCTGCTCCCAGGCCAGGCTCAGGCACTGCAGCTAGGACACTGTGTAGTTGATAATACATCATGACAAGACATTCCACAACTTAACTGTATCAAACCCCACTACTTTTGTTTTGGATAAGCTGTTGCCAGACTAATTTGGTATCTCTTGGTAGAAACCAAGGTCCTGTTATCCTTTTGCTGGCCTGAAGGGTCTCAGTCTGCTTTAGCTGGTCCTTGTCTGCTAATCCCCCTCACGCTCTTCTTTGTATCCTGTCTTGTTCAATCATGACTTTGAGTTATGTGACACCAAAAATGCAGGCAATATTCAAAATGGCACAATGGCAAAGTGATGTCTTATGGGTTTTGTTTTGTCTTCTTATTTGTCTTTTTGTCTATGACTGAGCATTAAAAACCATTATACCACACCTCTCTTTGGTAGCTCCAAATCCAGTTTGAGTGGGAATGGTCAGAAACCACATGCCTTGAAAGTGGGAGAAATTTACACAGGTATCTCATTTTACATTTACTGGTCACTTTGTTACTTGGCTTCTTGGTATTGTGAGGTCCTCACACCTGTCTGAGCAAAGCATATTCTAGTCACAGGAATCTCCTCTTGACCTGTATTATTTGTACAAGTTGCTGGAGGAAATAATCAAACATTTGTTGTTTGTTGTTGTTAGGGGTGGTCAATATATCACTGTCATTAGTTGTTTCTGATGTTCAGAAATGTTGTAGCCCTATGGAGAATATTTTGTCTGCTCAGCTCAAGGGCAGAGCATTTCAGATGCATCTATTAGTCCTATTTAGTTTTTAGATAAGTTCCTATGGAGCTCTGCATGCACTTGCTTTTGTCTATTGATTAAATAAGAAAGATTCTGGCTTTTTAAACAGGGGTTTTTCCACTGCCTGGAGCATTATAGATTTTTGTGTGTGTGATAGCAGTCTAACATAGCTATTGAAAAACCAAAGGCATCCATAAACTTGCTTTTATGTATTCCTTTATCTTTGTTTCAAGTTAATCGACAAGGAGCGCTGAATTGCTCCACAGGGGCTGGCTCTGGGCAAAACAGCCCTGTTAGTAAGAAGCCCATCTGAAGGCAGGCTGGCAGCTCCAGGACTGCTCCCCATTGAGTCACACAAACACCTGTGCTGCCCAAATTGCATTCCCCTATTCCCAAGGGAATGTCTTCTGTGCTCCGATTGATTTCTGTCTCTGACACTGCTCTGTGTGGGATTTTCTGGCTTTGAGAGCCATCTACAGAAAGTACATATTGATTGGATCCTCCTGGGATGGGGGGGTAGGAAAAAACAACAGCCCTTTCTATCGTGTAGCAAAGCTTTTCTGAGTGAATGGCCTTAGCTAAAAGACTTTATGCAAACTTTAGAGTACAGAACCTGAAGAACTTCTTGTCAGCAGGAATAACAGCTTTTTGAGCTAATGGACTGTTCTGGAAAAGGAGAACAGTAAATTTCTTTCCAAAATAAGTAGAAATTAAGACACTGAACTCATTAAGCAGCTGCCCTGTTAAGTGCTGTAGTGTCTGCTGAAATGTGGCTGCTGCTGAGCAGGATTTGCATTTGTGGGCACCATGGCATCTCCAATTACTGCTCAGCAGTGAGGAAGCCTGCAGGGCAGCAACTATTAGCAGAGGGCTCTGCTAACTGATCCGTGCCACCACTGGTGCTGGACACTCAGCGCTGTTACTTTAATTGCCCTCTGTGTTGAGTTTGAAAAAAGGAAAGTGCTTCTAGAGAAAGAAAAGGGAATTAAAAAAAAAGGGGGGAGGGATGAAATGAATGTGTTTGAAGGCTGTTACAAACCCTGCAAGTCAGAGTACCATGTGTTCTGGGAGCAGCCAGAGAGCACACTGTGCACTGTTTGGCACACTGAACCCAGCAGACACAGTCCTTCAAGCAGCTGATGAGAACTCATCAGTTTTTCTCTAGTCCAATGCTGTGTTTAAAACAGATCCAGTTGGGACAAGCAGTCATGTACAGCAACAGAAGTGTTGATAGAAGAGGTTGTAACCTGTGATGCAAGTTGTTTTCAATGCTAAGTCTTATCCTCTTTTTATGATTTCCTAGGTCTGCTTTAACATGGAAACCTTGCGAATTTATTCACATCTCCAATACTTGCACTAGCAAGGGGGAAATTTTGGTTTGAATTAAGTTGCAAGTGTGCGATTGTTAGAAGGCTGTCACACAATGTCAGATCAGCAATCCTCCTGGCTCGGGAAGTGACCCCAAGCTTCAAAAGACAGAATATGAAGGTGTAAAGGAGGTAGGTGTGAAGGTGTGTGTCAGCCCAATAGCTATGGGAATCTTCCCAAGATCATCAAGTGTTGTAGCAGATCGTGTTGTGATCAGATAGACCCTGAATCTTGTAATCTCTGGGACTTTGTCGTCCTCCTACAATGCTGTTAATATCTCAAGAGGAGAGCAGCAGGATGTGGCTCCATCAGGAGCATCATTATTCTCCTTTGTTATCATCCAAAACACGTTATCTCACCTCTCACTTGGAACTACACCTGGTTTATCACCAGCCAAAACAAAGAGCTACTGATGGATGTGCACAAAAGCAGCTTTATGGCAATTATTCCATTACAGCTGATGACTGTTTTGTGTGTGCATCTGCACACCTCAGTGCTTCTGGGTTTTTATTGGAACAGGATATGCAGAGTAGGCAGTGAAAGGGAAAGCCTGGCTCTGCAGGCAGTGCTGCTGGGTGCAGCCAGGTACATGGATGCAGCACAGGACTCCAAGGAAGTGCCTTTTCCCACCCACAGCTTCTGCAACCCAGGTAGTGCATGAGGTGCTGCAAGAACATGGCTTATGTAGGGAGCCATCCTACAGGCCTAGGAAATACATATTAAACAGGAGGATTAAAGCCTTTCAAAGATGGAATTGGTTGTGTTTTCATAATATTTTTCTTTTCACCCTCCACAAGACTTGGCACAGCCTGGTATGCTACAAAGCACCCTTTTTTCTCCTTACTCAGAACATTTTGAATTAATTCTTGGCAAAGCTGTCTAACTCTGAGTGTAGATAGGAACAAACTCCAGCCAAGCTGGGTCCTCCTGCAAGGCCACTCACCTGGTTCTCTCTGCCCCAGGACTTTGTGAGTGCACAGATTTCCCTGTGTCTTGCGGCAGATGGGTGGATGTGGTACAGCAAAGGCACCGATGTCGGGAGCTACACACACAGCTGGGAAAGGCAGGTGTCTAGAAATGACACAGAGAAATGCTTTTGTAGACCATAAAGGCAACTGAAAATGCCCAGCAAGAGAGTACAGCTCAGATCAGCATGTGTACAGTCAGATTTCACAGCATGAAGGTGCACAGTGAGCTCTGCACCGGCATCTCAGTAGCTCCTCCCAAGAGAGGCAGTATCTAGAAATAGCTGGAGGTTTGGGAAGGTGACCTGAACTGCCACATCTTCGAGAAGCATGGAGATACCCTATCTGCCTGTGAGTCACAGAACACTCTCTGCTGCACCTTAGTCCATGACCACCCCTGCTGCCATCAGGGGTTGTGTGCTAGACGAAAATCAATCAAGATGTACGTGACAATTGAATATTCTCCAAACTGTGTCTCCTCTTCAGGCTTCTCAAAGTGCTGGATCCATACAGCAACCTGCACAAGCTGGAGCCTGAAGCACCTGCTTGGTGTGGGAGAGGAATCCTTCCAGGAAATGGGTGTAATGTGAAAATGCATTTCAATGCACCCCATCGACCCTCTGAAGGCACCAGCACCATCAGCATGGCTGTGGTCCTCAGGGACCTCCTTCTTCACTTACTGTAACCCAATTGATTTTAGTGGGCACTCGCTGCCTGGTACATTTTAAGTCTAGATTTTGAGGATCATAAGTAAGAACATAAAGCACTGTCAAATATTTCTGGGGTTTATGACTGAGCTGGAAAAGAAACTTAATATCCTTTTAGCAATTTGCTCAGCTAACATTTAAAAAAATCTATTTGTCTGAAGGGGCAGAAAGAAAATCAGGAGGGCAGAAAATGTAATCACTGAATTTGCTTCTGGATTTTTTCCCTCTATCTTCCAAAACCAAGTGTTATTGCCAAAGTGAATTCTGATTTCCTCTCAGAAACTGTCCACTGTCTATTCCATGGGCAGTGCTGAAATATAATGCAAATGTGAGTAGTTAAAATATCTGAAGAAAACAAAATCAGATTGGTGTAGTAACTCAGTGACGTTTCCCCCTCACCCTTCCTTACAGAGCACTGCTATTTTACAGCAATAGAAATCCTTCTGGAGTTTTGTAGCTGACTCAGAGCTGCAAGAAGAAGAAGAGAAAAGAAGAGAAACAGAGAGGTAATTTCCAAAGTGAAATTAAATTAACCACAAAATCAAACATTTCCAAAGACCCTTGATTTCATGTTGGTTCAGAGGCACCTTTTGGATTTATGCCATCTAAAACCAAAATATCAATACACATTTCAGGACTGATGGTCTTTTAATGCTCTGTGTTGCACTTCAGAAGCTATAAGAAATATGACTGGATTTTGTCATGCCTAAATTAATAATAGAATCTATTTTGGAATCTATTATTCTATTAAAACAAGAAATAATAGATTTTGCATAATTATTAATCTCTTGTAATAATCCTCAATTGTATAAATTACTTTTCAGAAACACGAGCAGTTTCTTGCAGACAAGATGACATTTACTGGCTTCTTTTTCTTCTGTATGCTGCTGAACATGCTAACAGGTAAGATTATTACCAAAGTTATTCTTGTTTATTTTTTCAAGCCCCCAGAAATATTTTGTTACAAATACAGAATCTTCTCTTTAGTATTGCTGACATTTTAATCCAAACTGTTCAGGCTGTGAGTTCTGACAGCCAGACTAAGTCGGTTCGTAGCAGTGACTGATTGCAAACAGGGAATTCCTTGCTCTGCTCTTCAAGAAACAAAAATCTTCTGGCTACACAGAATATCCTATGTGGGCATTAAAGAACTTGTGAGCTTCCAGTTCTACTAGTTCTACATGGAATATATCTGGTTAACAGAAAGTCTTTCTGTGCAGGAGCTGGTACTGATGTGTTTCCTCTTTACTTACAGATGCTCGATCCATCCAGGATGGAGATGGTAATTCCTAATGTGTTTTTATTTCCTTTGTGTCACTAATAATTAGAGTAATTTGCAACTCCCAGATCTGATGCCCAGCAATGACTTTGGCAGGAATGCTTATTAACCTCAGTGGGCTATGGAAAAGTTCTCAATTAGTTCTGGTGAAAAAAGAATAGTGAATTTTAAAAATTCCTTTAAAATTTATTAAAAGGTGGTGACATATTAATGTATAATAATAGAGCTAATATCCAGTCTTAAAATGAAAAGGGATTACATCTGTTGTACAAAATCCTAACTGGAATGCAAGAGACTTAGAAATGTATAGGACATCTGAGAATTTTGTCTGTCCTGAACCATAATGCTGTATGTGCATCTGCTTTTTGGCAAGAGATACCAGCTTTCATGACAAAAAAAGCTTAAAATTTACAAATTGCCACAAATCCAATTAGAGAAATGTTAGAATAAATCCCTTAGCACAGCTACCCTGTGGTTTATGTCACTTTGTGTGATCAGTCCATTGGAGTAGTGTTTGCTTTTGATTAAAAAAACCCTCAACACCCTAATGATGTTTACACTGGCTTACTGATGATTCCATAATTGAACCTCTTTTTGGCTTTTCAGACAGAATTCTGTCTAAAAACAAAGTTGCAGAGAAGTATCTGCAATAATCAAGTACTGCCATTGCTGGTGTACATCTCAGTTAACCAGAGGACAGCCAGCAGCATCTCCAGTGTACAAATATGCAGATAACAAATATGAACAGAACAAATGTACAATAATGATTACTTATCATTCAAACCTTTTTCCCCCTATGTTCCATTATATTTCTTTAGAAATAAATCTTTTTAATACATCATCTCTAAAATATTTTTAATATATCATCTGTGTTTTTGTAGAGCAAATATTTTTGTGGCAACTTTTGCAACACTCAGGAGAGCCTGCATCAATCTAGAATTAGAACCCTGTTCAGGCAGTGTCCTGTTGCTCTCATTACCAGCAATTATTGTTCTCTTTCACACTGGGCCAAGCAGCAGCCTGCAAAGTGAATCTGAGGTCAGCTGGTATAAACAGTGAGTTCTTCTCTGCAGACAGCATTTGGCTGCTTCATTTGGTTTGTTATGTGCCATCTGTGCCTACACGCTGCAAACTTTACTCCATAAAATTAAAGTCTGACAACAGGATTGTTGAAGGCTCTTAATTCCTACTAAAGACCGTGGCCCCAAGCTGAGTGAAAAGACTTTCATTCATCTAAATGGGCTTCAAATCAAAATAAAATACTGTGTTTAGCTTCACTGCACAGAAAGACATTTGTGACTGTGCTCTCAGCTGCTGTTTACATTTTATGTCTGCTTCTCTGTTTGCCCACATTTGGGCCCAAGGGTGGTCAGTTCCTGCATTCTCAGAACTGATTTTGTTTTGCTACTGAATTGTTAATCTTGTTTCAGTGACTATATCACATTCTGGTCCTGCTAGAGCAGGCCCAAATGCAGCAGCTGTCCCCCAAGTAGCAAAGCCTTTCCTCTCCATCCCCAGAGCTCGTTTCCTACAGTCCCCGGAGGGAGGCACAGCTCTGCAGTTCCAGGCAGTATCAGGGCAGTACGGCACCATACTCCCAGGGGGTTCTGTGGGCAGTGTGCCCAGCTGCAGGGGCATGCCATAGAGTGGTGCCTTATCCCTTATATCTTTCTATGGGACAAAGCAAATTATGTGGAATGAGAAAAAAACGGCTTTCGATTGCAATTGCTCCTTGCTTTGAAATAACCTGAAGCCTTCTAGAAATGAAACCAGCCTGATGAATTCTTGAATTGGTGTAAATGTGGATGTGTTCCTTCTTTCCTGCTCCCCATCTTGTCCCACTCTGTCACTCCTGGTGCATCTGGAGCAGGGAATACCGGCTCCATTTTCTGCTGAGTGGGTCACGGAGAGGGGTCAATGGCTCTCCTTGCCTCTCTCCTGCCAGAGGAGCACACCAGCCCCCAAAGGGAACTCACAACCCCAAACCATGGCGGTGGCTCCAAGCCTACCCTCTCAAAAAAAGCACTTTGTGTTATAGTAATCTGCAATATTTTATTTTGGTTGGGTTTTTTTAGATCTCTACCAGGATGCTGCAGCTTTGCCCTACTGGCCCTTCTCATCCAATGATTTCTGGTCCTATGTGGAATATTTCCGGACCTTGGGAGCCTACAACAGGATCAATGACATGGCCAGAGCCTTCTTTGCCCAGTTCCCTTTTGGGAGCCACCTTGGCTACCACGTGCGTGACCATGAGCACTGAGAGCCTTGCTCAGCTTTGCCAGAGCTGCTGCCCAGGTGTTAGGGTGAGCACTTGCCTGCCACTGAACACACCTGGGCTGCCCCCACCTGCTCTGTGACAGCACGGTCATGTGCAGCATTTTATGGCTTCAGTGAGTCTCTTTTTTACCATTTCTTGTAAAGGTGTTTGCGTGAACACCTGACTGCCAGCAAACACACCTGCACTGTGCCTCAGCCACTAAGTGACACTGCAGCCACATGCAGCATTTCGGGCTTAAAATTAATCCCTTTTTTTACAATGTATGCTTCTGTGTGACACAATAAACTTGTTCATTCTGCTGCATGGCTTTGGGAGCTTTTTTTTTCACAGCTGATACTCTCAGCTCCGTCTCGGGAGACTGCTCTCTGTGTAGAGGAGCACATGTGTGTACAGGAGTTATTCAACCAGTGCACGCAGTTTGGGAGCTGGAGGGGGCACCAGTATCAGTCACCTCATTTGCAAGCTGATGCCTCACTGAGGCCTGAAGGGGCGCAGGGCCTGCCGTCGCCATGGCGATGGGGCGTGGGNCTTGTCACCATGGCGACGGGGGCGGGGTGAGCAAGATGGCGACCTCCATTGCTGGGCGCCATGGCGACGGGGGCGGGGTGAGCAAGATGGCGGCCTCCATGGCGACGGCGCGGTCCCCGCGCGGGGGCGGCCATTGGGCACGGCGGCGGCGGAAGTGACGGCGCAGAGGGGCCGCCATGAAGCCGGCGGTGGACGAGATGTTCCCTGAGGGCGCCGGCCCTTACGTGGACCTGGATGAGGTGAGGCGGGTGCTCCGGTGCTGCGGCCGTGGTGCCGCGGTGCGGAGGCGCTCAGCGGCTGCTTTCGCAGGCAGGGGGGAGCACGGGGCTGCTGATGGATCTGGCCGCCAACGAGAAAGCGGTGCACGCCGACTTCTTCAACGGTAAGGACCGCTGTGCTCCCGGCGGTGTCTGCAAAGCTCGCCTGGCTCCTCTCCCCGCGCTTTGCTGCCTGTGCTCCCTACACTTGCGGCTAACCAATCTCTGGGTGCGGTGGTGCAGGGGCGAGCGCTAAAACGCGGGGTTTTCCTCTCCGGGCAGTTTTAGCGTGTTCATCGCTACAAGGAAAAATACCTTGGTCTGCTCGTAGGACAAGTAGCTTATGTTAAACAGTGCAAATAGGTCTAAAAATGTGGGCTTCTCTGGACAGTCTGCTCCGGTGCCTCACGGCCCCTCACGGGGAAGCATGTTTTTCACATCCCCAAGCCTACATGCTGTCAGTTTGAAGCCATTCCTTTTGTGCTGCCACTCCAGGGCCCTGGAAATAGTCTGTCAGTGTTCCTTGTAGGTACTAAAAGGCCACCCTGAAGCTTCTCTTTTCCAGGCTGAACAATCCCCATTCTCTCAGCCTGTGTGTAAGTATTTACAGCTGCTTTGAGAGAGGGGAGCCACGTAGGGATGGAATATAAAATACTGTGCTGCACCTGGTGGCTAAAGGGGTTTTTATGCTTCTAAAGAAATGCATTTAGACATTGCAGCAGTGAGTTTTATATGTTATTGAATCTTGCAGTGGCTGTGTTAGTATCACAAACTGGTGTTAATTCCAAAATAAAGTCCATTTCTCATTTTACTCAAGACTTAGAACACAGGAGTGAGTGGAAGGCAGTTCTGCTCTCAGCTGTCTGTTGGAGCCAGCATATTCAGGAGTGGCTGTTTCCATCTCTCTCTACCCTCACACTGTGGCATTGTGTTCCATTGGTAGTTTAGGGCTCTTCTAAATGAGGATTCGTCCTCAGTTCATTGTAGGTTCTTGTAAGTTGCCTTCTGTAAGAATAAAGACTGTTCACTTAGGTGCTTAGTTTATGTTCAGTATACAAAGAAGATGCAAGGCCGAGTAGTTAGGAGTAATTCCAAATGTGACTGGAACCATTTCACTACTGGGAGATGTGTTCTGAGACAGAAATGTTATTGCCACCTTTAAAGTGGTTTTGAGGAAGGGGTTTTTAACACAAAACAATTAAATGCTTTTGAGAAAGGGCTTTTTAACACAACTCCCAATTCGTTAATCTGCAACATCATCACCCTGATGCTACATTTCTAATAACTGATGGTGCAGTAACTCTCATTCTCTGAATTCACCTTTATTTCTTGATCCAAGGAACAAAGTACTGTACTTGCATGTTCATTTGTAACACTGAGGTTAATTTTTGTCTTGTTTTCCTGACTAGATTTTGAAGATCTCTTTGATGACGATGACATCCAGTGAGCTTATGTGTCCAGCAGAGCTGAGATGTGGAGTTTTCTCTAGGATCACCTGTGCAGTCCATTATTTATTAAATTAATCAAAATGGGAAAATCACAGAGGGGGAGAAGAAAGCCTGGATAAGCTGCTTGGGGAATATGAAAACCAGATGGTTAAAGATAACTAAGGAGGGAAGTGTGCACTGTTATTTCTAGGAACCTGTGTGTAGATTTTCCTCGAAATTTCATTTGCTGATGTGCTTATTGAATAAAATACTGAAGAAACACACATCTTTCTGACTTATAAAAGTAGAAATTGCTGTCTTCTGATCTCCCTTAGAGTGATTATTTTGGTATTAAATAATTCACCGTTGCTTTTGGATATTACGTAAGAGAGATGCAGCAGGGTACATGCTGCCCAGGAAAGTTTTGTTCATCCCACAGTAAAGGATTGTTTTGGGATCACATTGTTCTGAGTAGTCCAGCTCACTTGTTGGTCACACTGAGTGAGTGTGGCTTGTCTTTTGTTTCAAGACAGAGAGCTACCATCAGTGCTTCACTTGTAATTTAAGGAACACAGAAAGAAAAAGTAACTTCACCTTGATATGTTAAGCAAAGAAGTGTTCTGACCCCAGATTAGGGGAATGCTTGGATTTAAAAATAGAATTTCATTCTTGAAATTGTACTTGATAGAAAAAGAAACTTGTCCTGCAGAAGCTAATGCACTTATTTGTGCTTAGAGGTACAGTGTATGTGAACCAGGCTGTTGAAATACTAGTTCAGATTTTGACATAAGCTTTTCAGAACATAAAAATATTTCCTTCTTACCCTTCAGTGACCAAACTGAATCTCAGAATGAAAGGAACAAGTGAGTTTTTAGTATATTTTTTCAGAGTCAAGAGTGTAATCCTGTCTAATCACAAATGCAATCTGTATTCCATAAATTGATCACAGACTAAATACTGATCTTTCTTTAAATAGTTAACACTACTTAAATTTTACCTGCAGTAAAACATACCTCTGTCACATTTTTTTCTTTAGTTTGCCTTCAAAAAGGAAATCTTAAATCTAACAGTAAGTCTTCCAGCCAGTGAGTTTAAAAAAGTAAGCACAATAAACCCAGTAGGATTTAGGTGTCTTTTGATTGTGCTGCTGTGGATTTCTGCAGGGCCTGTGTTTGGTCACGCAGTGTGCTGTAAATCAGCACTCTGACATGTCCTCTGCCTGGTGCCTGACACTGTGCTGTGTCCCTGCAGGAGCAGCCCTGCTCAGGCAGTGCCTTTGCCTTTTAGTCCTTGCTCTGCTGAGAGCCTGGGCTTTGCAGTTTACCTCACTGAGACCGAGGTAAAGCAATTTGAGTGGTGGCAAATGGGCTGGGACTGTCTCAGGCCCTGGTGCTGTGCTTATTCCAAATTATCTTTTGAGGAATGAGTTGCTGCCAGGAAATAGAGGCAGCATTTTGGGCAGGTGTAAAAGATGAAATAAAACTCAAGAGGCAACTCTCCTCCTCTGCTCTTTTATCTACTTCTGCTGATTCCTCAGTATGGTTGGTTTTGGAATACATCCTTGTCAATGTTTTGTAGATAGTTCTTTGTTTTTCATTTGCTTCCTTAAGTTGTAAGAAACTTGAGCTTTAAGTTTGATCACAGCAGCAGAAGTATATTCTGTGATACAAACCCACCTTGAACAGCTGCTCTTCAGTATGGATGGTGTTCTCTCCTCTGAAGATGTCTGAAACCTCAGTGAACGTTGGTTCGAAGGTGCTAATGGTGAGTGGTTCTGGTTGTGTAACATCTCACCTGATCAAAGCATGGAATTCTCTCTGTGGAACTGGGTCCAGCAGTTTTCATCCTGGGAGGATGTAACTTTCCACTCAAGGTAGGTCGAGCTAACACCTTTTTGTGAAGATTTCCAGAAACTCAGGGTTTCACGTAGAAAAGCAGCATCAGTAGTACTGCTGGCACCTGGGAGGTGTAGTGTGTGTGTGTCTGTGGAGAGGGAACTTCATCTGTGCCGTGTTTAACAGTGTGTGAGTTAATCAGTCCTTAAGCTGTGGAAAACTGGAATCCCATGAACTGCCTGGGTGTGCAGGTAACGCTGCTCTGGCTGTAGCTACTGGGGGTTCTTGGGTATTCCCAGTCCTTCAGTCTGATACCTGTGTGGGTCTCCTAGGCTGGGATGAAATGAAAGGAACATTCAGAGTTGGGATATTGCCAAACATGCATCTTGGAGCTGTCTGCACTATGCAGTTCCCTCCTGCACGGTGAGACTGAGGGTGTGCATCGCATCATCTCTCCAAAGAGGGCTGTCAGTGTGTTAAACTTCCACCAGGAGCTGTGGTTTGTTTGAGTCCCTGCTGGAACGGTGGTAGATGAAGAAAAAAATGCCCTTCAGCTTCACGTTGCTGCTGTGTTCCCATTTGTCAAGGCTTTCAGTGTAATTAGTCTGGGGGCAATAGCCTTTTGTCAGGAAATAATCACAAGATGTCAAAATCTCTAATAAAAATGGATGTAAGCAGCATTTGACTGCCTTGGCCAATTAATTTCTTGAGCTTTGATTCCTGTCCTTTTTGTGGAGATTGACACCTCTTATAAGAAGTGTTTCTTAGGGAACAAGGCTGTTTGAACAGCAATATGCACACATTTAGACTGATGTGTATTCATTTATAAGCTGCTAGGTACTGCTGAGTATTTCAACATCCAAGTAAAGGCTCTAGTCTGAATAGTTTTGTGAATTGTCTCAGTGATTGCAGTGGGACAGCTGGCAATCCATAAAACTGAGACTTGGCAGGATGAGGTCCTAAGTGCTAAAATGCCTTAGAAGGGTGTAGCCAGTGGTGCAGCACAGATGAAAAGCAATTCCTTCAAAACACTTAAATGTCAGCTTGTTCCCTTCCATACTCTCAACAGGCCACGGCTCTGTCTGCAGGGAGCAAAGTACATTCTTTGGAAATAAAATGTACAATCTATTTTGAGCTGAAAAGAATCCACTCATTGTGAGGGAGAGAAAGTTACCATGCTAAAGGAAGCTGGCTGTCATCTGTGTGTAATATTTCTTCAGTGCTGCTTCTGAGCTGGTTTCC